TGTCTCATATTGTTTCTCGAATAGTCCATGTCTCATATTGTTTTTTCTTAAATAGTCCCTGTCTCAAATACAGTAGTCCATGTCTTAAATGGTCTTAGATCCTCATTTCTGATGTCCGCTACGTGTAGAATTCTAAGAAATTGACAGTTGAAGAAAAGAAATCATCTATTATTTTTATGATTCCTTTTTTTTTCTTGACGCATTTCCAACAGTTTTTAAATCTTGAAATTTTTTTTTGCGTTTTAGCAAGTGCTTTGGCTACACCTTCTGACATTCTACAAGGAGAACCGCGTATTGGTGGAAGGACCTCTGACAAATTTGAAGGAATGCACGATGTCGTTTCCCAAGCCGAAGCAGCTCACGAACGCCCTGAACCCAGGCACTCATTTTATGTCCACATCCATGTACGATGCCAGGGAAGCCATGGTCCCGGGTTCGGTCTACGATCGGTCGTCACACTTGCCGTCTCGAATGCCGTTTAATCGCGACGACGGGTTCCTGAGAACCCACGACGCCCTCGGGGCATTAGTCATGAGTCAAGACGACCGGGCGTTGTCGAGTGCGTTTAGCGGCGTGCCTGTGCCGATGGGCATGTTTTTGAACATTGGACAAGGCGTAGGGCCGAGGTTTTATTCTGGAGTCGGGCTCCAGAGAGGTGCTCAACCTGGAGGAGGTGGTGGCGGTGCTGGTGCTGGGAAGGGCAGGAAGCCCGGGGCGAGAGGGCGGAATGTAGGTGGGAAATCGGCGCCGTCGACTGGGCGCCTGAATGGGGAGAAGTTTTTCGAGGCGTCGCAGGAGCGGCAGCAAACTCAGCCCATGGCGTCGCAGGGCATGGGGTCCATGTCACAGGTCAGTTTTCATATTCTTTGGCTAATTTATGTGTTTTAAAGTACTGTTCGGTATTTATTAGAAGTACAGTAAAGTGGAGTACTTTTTGTCTGTTGGTTTCCCGCGAAGGCGCTTCCTGAAAAAAGTTGATGTGGCGGCCGTGGATTTAGCAGTTGTCATTTCTGGGCCAGTTTGAATGCTTCCCTGTTTATCTGAAGACTTGGTCCCATTTATTTTCCCCAACCATGGGTTTGTCGAAAAATTTAACTATGTCGTTTTTTTTTCCTTCAGGGCATGTCGCAGTCGTTTGGTGTGGTTTCGCAAGATCTGAGTCAGGCAGATTTTGGTGGCGTGAGTCTCGGCGGTGGGACAGACGGCAACTTTTCCTTGGGTGTCGGAAACATGCAGGTGGAAGGTTTGTTGTCCCAGGACTCAACTTATCAGGGCTTCTACCTCAGCGGAGCCGGCCCTTCTCAGGGTCCGCAGTACTCACAAGTACGTTTTTTCTCGGAGCGGAATTTTTTTTTCGTCGTTTGCGAAGTTGATTTTTCTCGGATTTCAATTTGTACGTTAGTGAGTCTCCGCATAACGGAAGGCACACACGACGGAAAATTCGCACGAAGATGATTTTTAAAGGGAAAATATGACTCGCATTACGAAATTATTTCGCGTAACGAAATTTTTCCGCCCAAATTTTTAAATGTACTGTAAATGGAACTTTTTCAAAAATCGAGAAAAACGTAGTTTCTGCATCCTCTTCATGATGGGAGAAATTCAGTTAATCATCAGCTTGAGTTGTCGGGGTTACTTCAATTTCATGCTGAACAATATTCAGAAGAAAATTATGAGATTTTATGGTTTTTTATTTTCTTTTTGTGAATGGCTGGAACCAATTAAATCGAATTACAGTACTGTTCAAGGTTATTTTAGGGGTGATGAAAATTCGACGAAGTAGATAACACATCCAAGAACTGATTAGTTTCGTTATACTCAGATCTCATTTACTGAATTTCGATTTTTTTAATTGCCAAATCAGCGTTTCCTAAGTTCTCTAATTAGCTTCGCGTTGTTCGGATCGTTTCACTTCGCTACCTCTCGACTTGCTCTTTGGTTCTGCGGGTTTCGCCGCCGTTGCGTAGATGTCGCCTGAATAATATAGAAACGTCTGTACAGTATTCATGGTTATTGATAAGTTCAGAATAGTAGATAACGGAGAATGGAATATTCTGGTGCCGTGTAGAAGGTCGACGTGAATCTCATTTTCTATTCAATCTTTTGTCGTTTCTGTGTTATTGTTCGAAAATGTGTCCATAACGATTCAATTCTATGTAGAGAGACTTTTTCATGCAGTCTCTTATCCCAAGCGGGTTCTGTCTGCCAAGATTAAAAATTGTTAGCAGCGCTAGACGTCTGTTAACTTTCATGGTGGATGTACAGTACTGTAAGTCATTGTTTCTTTTCCGCTTTTTCAGCCGTACTGATGAGGAAGAAGGGCAAGAAGTCGCTGGAACGATTCGGGTTTCCAGATCAACTCCCTGAAAATGGGGGCTGCGAAAACGGAAGAAAGACCTGGGTTTGAGCCTGTCGTCGGGACTCGCAGGGTTCGTGCGATGACAGCCTACCTAGCCTCGATCTTTGTGTGGGACAAACTTGCTTGGAGGATTGAAGGGTTTGAAAAACCGTCGAAGAAGGGCGACATTAAAAGGAAAAAAAAAGAGATGGGAAAGAAGAAGAAGAATCGGAAAGAGGAAATGTGGGGGATGAAAAAATCTTCGATCGCAGGAAACAAAGTAATCGTTGAAGACTAAGCGAAAATGGATTGAAGAATCCGGAGAAGAAACATGCGAAACCCGGAGTTGGATCGACTGACAGAAAACACAAGCGCTGCGATTTTCGTTGTTTTTTTCCCTTCCTTTCCATTGGCGAGAGACTTTTTCGAGAGAAATCCTTGAATGTTCTTCAGTTTTTTTTGCTGTTGTGTTAATCTCGTTTTTTTTTTATTCTATGGGATTTTCGCTTCGTGGAACCTTTTTGTCCTCAAGTGCGGAATTCGCGCAAGCAAGGGTTCGTTTTTTTCGGTTTCTGTTTCGGTCTGCTGATCGTGAAGAAAAAGGAAAATCCTTTTTTGCCCATCTGTCCTGTCTCGCATTTTTCTTCTGCAGTCGTTCTTTGCCTTTCATCGCCTAAGTGGAATTCTTTGCATTAAAAATTGGGGGTTAAACCTAATTTATTGTATTTCTGAACGCGTGAAGATATTTATGTTCGAATTTTCGGCGTGTTGAGAAGAATTGTCTTCCTGTGATCAGGTGTCCGTGAAAGGATAAATTCATGATGTATGTTCTAATTACGCAGGCTCTAGTTTCAAGAAAAAATCTAATGTGTGCAGATTGATTGATCCTATTTAAATTTCGAAGGTAGGTTACGCATGGGCATGAAAGATCATAGTTCCCTATTTTTGTAAAATTAAAATGTTCAAGAAACGAAAAAAGTTGAATTCATCCCAGAATTACGAATATTCTGGAATTGCTCACATTTTTATATTCACGTAAACTGTCATCCATCGAAGTAAAACTCGAATGATCTGGACTTATCAATAACATTCAATTATTGTTGACCAAATTTTGATGCTTCACATTTTTGCATTAATGTTTTGGCAATTTTTACTTTTTATCATCCAGGAAAGAACGTCTTCAGAAAAACTATGGTTTTGATGGAACGGGTGGCCCGAAAAGTTCGTGACAGATCTTAAGTTCAGAAACTGTAAATGGGAAGATTTTGAACTTGGACCAAGCCAAAAGTTACTTTTACTTGGTTCACAATTTTAAAAAAAATCTCATTAGTCATATTGTCAAATTTTTGGACGTTGAAAAAAAGAAGCTCCGTTTGAAATTCTGGCGAGATTTTCCGTAGTGTTTTTCCGAAGTTTGTTGACCCCATGTCAACTTATTCCCAAGGCAATGAAATGGCGATCTTTCGTAAAACCGCATGAGTGCATTTCAAGATAAGCGATTCCGTTTGACATATTTTGCAGGTTTTTCGTTGAAATGGCGATAAGGACGCAGGCGTGGTCGTGTTTCTCTCGCCGTAATCTCTGGAACGTGTGCAACACTGTACTTGGTTACCGAAAAACGAAACCGTGTTATTGAAATTTCCCGTGAGCTGCGAATTGGGGCGAGGTACGATGTGGCACGCAGTTCCTGGTGTCCCCCTGAAGTGCGCAATTGTGGCTCGGGTCTTTTTGGGGGTCATGGAAAACATTTGAACGGAATCCCGATTAATGTCTTGGGTACCTGTGGAGCCGTAGAGAATTTTAGTGTCGCTAGATGGAGTTCCTTGGAAGAGAGGATATTTATTTCGTTTTTTTTTACATGAAGGCTGAAGGGACTACGGTTAATGCGGGAGATTTATCTTGATTACGGTACGTTTGAAGCATTTATTTTTCACACTTGCGAAATATTAATGGTTGAAAGAAGATTTAAACATTTTTTCTCTCGTAACCATGCTCTCAGGAGAAATGAAGTTGGTTCACCACTTCAGATGTGATTTATGTGGCAGCCGTTATGATTGGAAAAATATTGAAGCATATTTGGAAGTAAAATAATTTGGATGCACAAATACAATTTGAATCAACTGGTACAACGATTTTGTGCCTTTTTCAGATGATCAAATGCCACAAATGCAGAATACAGTACAATATTTCAATGAAAAATTGAAATTTATTTAAGGTAATTCATCTATGGCATTATTGTATATTGCACTTGCGAAGTACAGTACTATACAATGCCTGTGCGTTTTTTTTTTCTCAAAATTTAGAAAAAATGAAGGTGTGCTTTGTATGCAGATATAAAGTTCCAAAAAGGTTGATTAGTTTAGGTATGCATTATACTCAATTCTAATGGAAAAATTTGAACCAATTTTAGCAGAAACACTACTTTTAATGGAACAAAAACAAATTCATCAGACTCAGGTTTTATTTATGTCTAGCTTCAATGCCAGTGTTTTGTTCTTGAGAAATAAGTTTTATACGGTAGTTGTAAAACTGATTTGGAAACTTGAAAAACTAAGTTCTACTTCACCTACTTCGAAACAGAAACATCATAGTTTTTACAAGTTCAGGTTGGGTCAATTTGAATTTAAATTTGAAGCCAGCCTGAAAATATATTATTTATCTGCAACAGTTTTCTCTATACTGTACTGTATAATGAATTTCTGTTTGGTCCCAAGTATATTGAGTTCTGTATAACAAAATTCTGTCTGGAAAATTTTTTTCTGGGTCCCTTGAATGTTTTTTTTTTTTTTAGAGATTACACATGTTTATTAAAATTACTTATTGGCTTCATAACTATTGACGAGTCAGTAGAAGTCAGCTCACATCTACAAGTATGGTCTGCAGATAACAAAAAAGCTCAACCTTGCTGGAAGCCCTAATCTTTAAGGCTGAAGTCCAAGCCTTCCAGCAGTACTCCTTCCAATACAGTATATGTGCTGATATTTTTGCTTGAGTGCTCAGCCCCCCTCTGGGCAAGGTTGCGTCAGCCGTCCA